AGTTCTGCCTTGAAAGTTTTCTCCTGGTTCCAAGAGAAACGACACTCTGAAAATACCTTCCTCCTCCAAATCCTCTCCTTATTTTAGCTTTATTTCTAAAAGGTGGTTTCAGAGGAAAGGAAAAGGCAGAACCACCCAACCACACAAATATACAATACTCCTCCACTGTCTCCAACTCGAAAATAAAGCGGAGATGAATGAGCTCACTTCAGAACATCCAAATATTTACTAAGAGGCAATGCTTCTCCCTGCGAAGAAGTAGAAGGAATGGTCAGGAGCACAGAATCTGAGATTGGCTACTGTGTGCTCTGGCAAAAGCAGCTTAACCTAACACCAGCCTATGAATAATTAGCTACCCCCAGGAAAGTGGTGTGTCTACAGCAGGACTGGTTTTCTTTATCAGGCTACCTTTTTTCCCAAGAGACTTGGTAATAGATTTCAAAAAAACATTGGAGGCTAGATTGATCGGGGACCATTACAAAAATGGCTGCTCTGATCCAACCTGGAAGATAAATGCACAGAGCTAGTCAGTTTCCTCTATTAAAATCTCCTTCCTGTACAAAAAAAAACAATGTGTCTGTGATTTTATGCCACAAAAATATAGGCTGTTGTGAGAGAAATATGAATTAGGTGTCTGGGGTGAGAAAGAAATTGTGTTGTGGAATCATGAAGGCATGTTAAATATTCAATGAGTGAATATAGTGTCAATAGAGAAGTCAGTGAAAGAAAATGAATCAAGATGCTATCAGAAAAATAATTTGTGAATATTTGTTTTGTGATACAGATAAGGCTTTTAAAAAATTGTTTCTTAATGTTATAAGTAATTGGGAATGCAAAACTGGTGCATCTAAAGAGAACAAACTTCAATGCTAATCAAGAGAGTATCATTGGGAAGAAAGAAGAGAAAGGACAAAGTAAATATGCAAAATTTTCTTTGAAATATTAAAGAGAAAGTCTTCAAATGTGTTTTGATAAAACAGCTCACATTAAACAATATGACTGATAATTGATACATTTTTCTGTATATTTAGGAAACATGTATAGTCAATGTGCTTTTCAGAAAGAAGAAAGAAAGAAAGAAAGAAAGAAAGAAAGAAAGAAAGAAAGAAAGAAAGAAAGAAAGAAAGAAAGAAAGAAAGAAAGAAAGAAAGAAAAAGAAAAGAGGAAGGAAGGAAGAGAGGAGGGGAGGAAGGCAGGAAAGGAGAAAGAAAATTTTACTGAAAGGATTGCATCCACCCAAAACCTCACAAACCTGCTTTTTACCCCCTTTAACCCCGAATATCATACTATACAGACTGAAAAGGCCTGAATTACAAGATTTTGAAACTTTTCCAGGAAATCTAGGGAACCATATTTTTAAATTCAATAAATTTGGTATTAAACTGTTACCAAAAGAGTAGATGTTATATTTTAACTTCCCCCAAATACAAATACACAAACTAACATTAAAGCCATGGCCCTCCAAGATTCTGCTCACAACCCACAATGCACAGTAAACTATGGTATACAGGACGACTCACCCCAAAACTGATAGACTCAAAGCTGACATACACAAAGATCTAACAGAAAGAGAAGCTCATTCGAAAAGCAAGTAACTCAATTTAGAGCCTAAGAAAACTGAACTTTGCTTAGCTGGCTTTTATTTTATCTCGTTTATTGTCCACAAGTCAATCATTGTCTTTATAAGTGACATGTCATTTAACAAATATTTATTTAGGGCTCAGGACATGAGGTTAGGGCAACAAACAAGGTCCAACCAACATCCTTTCTCTTTCAGAGTTTACAACTTGAACCAGAGGCAGGACAAGAAAGAGGAAGTTGGAATGTTTCATAACTGGAAGCACTATTAGCATCTGAGGCCTGGCATCTTGTGGGGTGAGAGTACCGTGAACATTACCACTAAAAGCCAAGAACAAATCCTAGTCAACAGTGATAACCCAAAGCACCTCTCTCTTTCTCCAAACCTCTTTGGGGGTAGGAAGTATTTTCAAAGTGCTTGGAAAAGGAAACTTTCTGTGCAAGATAAGAACTCCCCCATCTTGGAAAGTGTCTCAAATTCAAGACATCCTAAGAATTCAGAAGCGATTCTAATAGAGTTTGGCCCTCGAAGAAAGAAAGGGTTTTATTTAGTTCCAAAGTAACTCAGTATTTATCATTTCTTATTCATTCTGCCTCTTGTTTTTTATCTCAGGAATAAAAGAGAAAGGGCAAAAAGATTGACTTGCAGGCTATGAACAACTGTTCCTAGTGGGATTGGCCCAAATTCTGCTTGGAATTTATATTTGCTTTTTTGTTGTTTATTTGTAACAATTCTTACATGCTCTGGGGGGAAATGGTGCAATGGAATGATGCTTTGGAATTGAAGAAAAAATGCCAAGGTCTAGATATTTAAAATACTTTGTTGTAAATCACTTTGATTCACTTAATTCTTTTTATTATTATTATTATTATTATTATTTTAAATTGATTATGCTGTTACAGTTGTTCTATTCCCCCCTTCATTCCCCTCCACCCTGCCCCCCCATCCCCACCATTACCCCCCTTTAGTTTATGTCCATGTGTCTCAAGTCCTTTAGGTTCTATATTTCCCATGCTATTCTTGCCCCCCCATCTATTTTCTATCTACTGTCTATGCTACTTATTTTCTGTACCTTCTCCCCCATCTCCTCCTCCCACTCCCCTGTTGCTAACCCTCCTTGAGATCTTCTTGTTTCTATGTTTTTCTGTGTTTCTATGTTTCCACTCCTGATCTAGCTGTTCTTTTAGTTTGCTTTCGTTTTAGGTGTGGTTGTTAATAACTGTGAGCTTGTTGTTCTTTCACTGTTCATGTTTCTTTAACTTCTTTTTCTTAGATAAGTCCCTTTAACATTTCATATAATAAGGGCTTGGTGATGATGAACTCCTTGAATTTGATCTTATCTGAGAAGCACCTTATCTGTCCTTCCATTCTAAATGAAAGTTTTGCTGGATAGAGCAATCTTGGTTGTAGGTCTTTAGATTTCATGACTTGGAATATTTCTTTCCAGCCCCTTCTTGCCTGTAAGGTCTCTTTTAAGAAATCTGCTGACAGTCTGATGGGGACTCCTTTGTAGGTGATTCACTTAATTCTTAAGAGCTAACTATTCCAAACACTATGGAATTAGATCTAGCTTGCATCCTCTCCTCAATTTTTCCAGAGTTGGTAAGCTAAAGTCCTTCTCTCCACACACCCCTGTGGGTTGTAAACTAAATCAGGTAAGGGACTAGACATCCACATTTACACAGGTTTAATATTTATGACCACTGGTGGGCTTAGCTTCAAACACAGTTGCTACAGGCAACATTACTAATAATTCGCCCACACTTTAAACAGAATCCATACATTTTAATAGCAAGCCCACAGGAAATGGCAGCTATGAGCCAGGCACTCTTTTCATGCACTACAGTCTGTACCTACAGACAAAGAGTGGACACCCAGGGAAATTAAAGCAACCACTGTTTAAATGCTGCCACCAATATCTGTGCACCAGAGACATGGAGGAGATGCTGTTGTAATACAGACGTGGCCGGCATCAGTTCACAAATTCAATACAAATTCCATTACGAGAGAATGAGCACAGGTCAAGCTCACAATCTGTTAAAATCCATCTCAATTCAATCCTAAAATTTCCCCTATTGACTGTAACAATGGAAGCATATCAGCATATTAGCCTCATGGCAAGTGAATAATAATGCAGCAAGAGTGATATGATCAATACTGGGATGCGATAAATTAGCAACAACTGAAGATTCTCTTACGGTCTTTCAAAATAAGTTGGCTGTAAAATTCACATTAATTTTAAATTGTGAATATCTGCTTTAAATATCTACCTTTAAATATCTGCTTTACCTCAGGCAGAAGTTTCACAAATAAGATAAAAACAAGGACCACTTGGAAGGTAGTGTTCCCCTGTAGAAAAATACAAAGACTGGATAGAAGCTGCCCTTCGTCATTAAAGCCCAGAAGGAGTGAGAAGAACTGGGTTTTGTTTTTTTTTAATACTTTATTTATTTATGTTTCAAGAGAGGGGCAGGGAAGGAGAAAGAGTGGGAGAGAAATATCAATGTATGGTTGCCTCTTATGCGTCCCCTGCTGGGAACTGGCCTACAACCCAGGCATGTGCCCTGACTGGGAATCAAACCGTGATACTCTGGTTCACAGGCCCGCGCTCAATCCACTGAGCTACACCAGCCAGGGCAAGAACTGGGTTTTTGAGTGAGACAGACTTATGTTTCAATTCCACTGCCAGCTGTTTTAACTGAGACTAATCACTTAACCTCTCTGTTATCTCATCTATGAATTAATTAATAGTAGGGGTGTGCAGGCTGAAGCCAAACGCTTGGGTCAAGTGCTTGGCGAAGCCGCACTTGACTGCTCGCATCTGCAAAGCAAATCAAGCCAGCAGCTGAGGACCGCCGGAGCCCTCGGGGGCTGAGGAGGGAATGGATAACTGTGAGCTTCCTCGGAATGTGACCATAACTTTTGCAGAAGACATATTAATCGTTTAGATAGCCCGGGAACGGAACAATCTTTGCCTGCAGCCTTGAGCTCTATCTAACCAACCCCTGTAAAATAAACGCAGAGACCATGTTCAGGGTCACTGGCTCTCTATCAGAGGACAGTGCCCCACCTGGCCCCTGCTTTTCCTTAAACTGTGTTGTGTTGTGTCTTTCTTAATCTCCCGTGGCCCCCACTCAGGGACCTCCACCCTGTGCCAGTCCTGGCACAGGGAGACTGATAATACAAGACTGGAGATAGCATGTAAGTACTAGCACAGGGTAAGCACTCAGTAAATCCTAGAAATAGTGTTACTCAACAAAAAGGGCAAAAGCTACAACTCAGTTTCCAACCCTCTGTGAATCTGCCTTAATAAAAAGGAGAAAGATCACTCCCAGCTGGAGAGTGATCATATAGCTGGAATTCGCTTATGACACGGAACCTTAAAAAATTTCCCCTCCAGTCGAGGAAAAATCATCAGCCGATGGAACATCTGATCCTTAGAGTGGACATGAGAGGCGGGGAGGAGCACAGGACACTAGCAGATCTGGGGATGGATGGGGCTGTGCAGACGGCGTGGAGGTGAGAAAAAGGAACCCGAGAGGGTTATCTTACCAATTTGGTTTCCACATGGTCTTCTCGTTGCCCGAGAGCAACCTGCGAGGCTGCCACTGTGTGGTCTTTCTCTCGGGCTGGCCATGGCCAGCAGAGAGAGACAGACATGTTTTCAACACATGTGAGAGAGAAGTGCAGGGGCTGGGAGGACGAAGAGGTCAGGGAGAAGGAACTGGAGTGAGAGGCTGAAGAAAGAAGTGAGCAGCTGATCGAAAAGAAGGGGGCAGATGAGAAGAAAGACGCAAGGAGAAGAGGGGTTCGCCCCAAAGGAGAATCAGAAAATTATCTTCTGTAAAGTTGGCTCACATCTGTTTACGTGATTTCCCCCCTTTCTTCTTTTAAATTTTCTTTTACTAAGTGTCTGTTCTTTGGTTCACCTAAAAGACGAGGAAAGCTTCATGTCCTTGGAAGGAGAGGACATATCAGTGGTGGTGTCAGCAGCTCTGTCAGCTCCAAGAGAGTAAGCCTGGGGCTGGGACATGGGGGAGTGGGACAGCCACACCCCAAAACGTGTCCCTGTGACAGCAAAGCCCGTGCTCTCACGCACCCTGGACAAGCTGCCTGCGGCCTGCTGACGCCAGGGCCAGCCAGGTCTCACCCATGCCTCTTCTGCAATCCTCTCTGAAAGTCTTGTTTTTCTTTCTTTTTTTTTGGGGGGGGGGGGTATTTTTATTTTGTGAGTCTGATTATAATTTCACAATTCAACCATCATAGATGCTTATACTTTTTTTATTTCCTTTAATCAGGTAAGCCTTTAATTTCACTCCTACATTATATACATGGAGAATCTCACCGTTTTTTCAGTATTTTTTTTTGAATTATAGTTTCCATTCAGTATTATTTGTATGGATTTCAGGTGTGCATCATAGTGTTTAAATAATCATATACTTTACATGGTGCTCCCACTGATATTTCAAGTACCTACCTGGAACCGTAACTAGTTATTACAATATTATGGACTATATTCTCTCTGTGTTACATACCTGGGGCTATTTCGTGACTCCCAATCTGTAATCTGACACCCTTTACTTTGTTCACTTAGTCCTTCTCTGCCAGCCATCAGTCTATTCTCTGTATCTGAAAGTCTAGTTTCTATGTTGTTTTTTTTACTTATTTTGTTCTTTAGATTCCACATATAAATGAAATCATGTTACTTGTCTGAAAGTCTTTCCTCAGTTTTAGCCTTTTTCTGCTTTACACACTGCTTTCTGATACCCTGAATTCTTTCCTTTTTTTTTCCTTTACAGATTTTCTTTATTCCCAGAAAGAGGGGAAGGGAGGGAGAAAGAGAGGGAGAGAAACATCAATTGGCCGTGTCTCATGCATCTCCCTCCCCCCAGACTGGGGACCAGCTGGCAACCCAGGCAAGTGCCCTGACCGGGAATCAAACTGGCAACCTTTAGCTTTGCAGGACAATATCCAACCAACTGAGCTATACCAGTCAGGGCCAGAATTCTTTCCCTTAAACTCCATTTAATAGATGGCTGTAAAACCTTTTCCTGCCATAATCCCTGCTTCATAACCTTCCATAGGTCTTTTGTCCTCACCTGTCACATGAACTTGGAATTGACTAGCTTTGATCATAATGCTCAAGAGGCGAAGGCCAAAGGTGAAATATCAGAAAAAGCTTATAAATTCCTGGATCACAAACATTAGACCATGAAAAGAATCTTAACAATGGCTTAGTGTAGCCCTCTCATTTTACAGATGAGATCATTAAGGTCCAGAAAGATCAGGTTTGTGAGGGGAAAAAAAAAAAAACCACATCTGTACATGGCAACAGAATGACCTTTAATCTTGAGCAATTATTTTGAAAATACTTGCTTTTTGTTTCCAGACTGAATGCAAGAATGTGGATTACATCACATAGTCATCAGCCTCCTGAATGAGGCCAGGAAACCTCAAAGCTCTTTCAGGTCCTTGTCTTCTAATTACCAGTACTTTTCTCCCTGAAGGATTTGTCCTCAACCTTAACCCCTACGTGCATTTCTTTATTTTGTCCTAAAGAGGGAGAAACCCGTGGAAAGATCTCAGATGATAGATAGAGTGTAGAGGTGAGATGCAAGGGTCCCAGAGACAGATGGGGTTCAAGTTCTGGCTCATAGTTACTTGCTAGCACTCCTCCTTTGGGCAAATTTCTTAACCTCTCTGAGCCTAAATTTTGTAGCAGGAGAAGCAGGGGGAGCATGAGGTCCTACCTTGTAGAGTTCCTATGAGCGCTAGATGAGCAACTCTGAATCAGCCTGCTCTGTTCACCCCTTGGCCCTTATTTTTGTCCTGTGTCACAAGGCTAGACTTCCCCCTTTCTCATGGCGACTTCCTTCCTGAGTGGGACGCATGTGGTCTCCTTTCCTGACGGATCGCTCCAGCTGGAACCCCCTCAGTTCACGAGGTCACAGATGTTCTCACAATAGGGAACCTCAAAAGGGAAGAGTTGAAGCTCTCAATCCTTCCTGCTTGTAGGGTAAGTGGAGGCAGTCTGGCTTCCTCACCCAGGTCTCTGGGTAACTAAGGGAGGCAGTGTTCCTGTAGCCTCGAAGGGGCCTGATAAATAGTGTTCTCATAGTCTCGAGACTGGGTCCAATAAATGGTTCCCATCACATGAAGTGGGCTCACATGTGCAAAATTATGCTATGTTATATAATTTTCTGGCTTAAAGCCAGCTTTGTTTTGTTCTAGTATTTAAAAAGGGGCCAGGGGCTCCCTGCTGGGTGCCACACTGGGGAGCAAGGGCCACAATGTGTGCCACACAGAGACATGCAGGGGGACACGTGGCTTGCAGCCTGCATGGCTCGCCCACCCATGAATCAAGGCACTCCAGACGTCCCAACGGCTCCATGAATATTCTTCCCAAATACCATGTACTTGTCAGGCCTTGAACAGCCACAACACACTATTCCTAAAGATTTCTTGGCACCTTGTGGAAATAACCTTTCCCTGTCCCCACCCCACATACACTACCCAGCAATTGCTATGTACCGAGGGCTTAGAGGGCCGTCGTTGTCCGGCCGAACAACACCCAATTTGCCCACCAGAGTACACGTGTATTTCATGTGTTCTCTTCATCTTTATACTGTATCTTTTTTATGGCAGGAATCATAAGCATTTCATTCTGTTCTATATTCAGTCATGTACTCCTTTTGTTGATTGCAATGTAAGCATTTTCATATTGCTACATAAACAAGTATGATCGATACTGTATATTCACATTTCTGAGAAATAACTGGTTTTTCTCAGGAAAAGAAGGTCTGGTCCCAGCTGACCTGGCATCTCCAACACCAGAAACACTTTTAAATAGCAGTTAATCCTGCTGTAAAATATCCCAACATTTCTTTTCCCTGGGCACCCCCCACCCCACTGGTCATGGCATCTATTATGCCCTGAACAACTGTGCAATGTCACTTCGTTTGCTCCTCATCATCTCTTTAGGTCAGTGCTGTGCCCATTTTTTGAATAAGAAAACTGAGGAACAGTGGAGGGAAACACTCCGCACAACGGCTCTCATCCAGCAGACAACAGAGCCGGGGTTCCAAACAGGTCCGTGTGATTCTGTAACTTAGGCTCGCATCATCCTAATTTACAGAATTCCGTACCAGCGAAATATATGTCAGTTTGAAGACAACTCCTACAGCAAGTCTTAAACCTAAGGCTGTCGGAGAAAACCACAGCTAAATAAACAGTAGTTAATGTGATAAGACTAGAGTTTTTTCTGGAACAATTGCAGCAGGGGCAAAGAAATCTCACTATAGAAATGGGCTTGATTCCGAACAGAGCATGGATGGGGGGGCGGGGTTTATAGTCAAGGGTGTGAGTCAGTGGATAGAAAATTACTAAGATTACTTACCCCATTTAAAGGGCTGAAGACAGATTTCTGTCAAAACTGACCTGACAAAATTCTTGCTGCGGGCAGACCAGGGTCATCAGATACCCGCCTGGGGATGCTGGGCCATGAGGAATTTTCTCAGATATTGAGGATATCAAGGTAAGGGGCTCTCTCTAAACTGACTGAGCAAGATTCTTGGTACAAATGGGTGGTGCAGGCCCAACAGGGACAGACACCAAGATCAAGGCCTAGAGGGCTTAAAGGAACCTAATCAGAGTTTGCTCAAGGAGATAGTTTTTATTTTTTAATCCTCACCCATCCAAGATCACTTGTTTCCATTGCTTTTGGAGAGAGAGAGAGAGAGAGAGACATCAGGGTAGGAAAGAAGCATCACTGGTCGCCCCTATATGTTGTACCTCTATCAATGTGCTGTTCAGCTTAAATTTGCACAATGTCATGTGTCAAATATATTACAGTAAAAATAAAATACATTTTTCAAACTAAAAAAAAAAGATAGGCAATGGATGTATGCATGTGCGTGTGTGTGTATTGAGAGGTATATGTGTCTATATTTAGAGTTATAAATATACATATTGTAAACATCTACATGAGGAATGAGATGTAAATGTACACATATATCCCCCAGGATTAAAAATCATCTGAAAATACCAGAGACTCTATGCCTGATAGTTTGAAGTGACAAGTGCTTTCCCAGTCATAGCATTAGAAGTACTTGAACTCTGTACCCCTTCCCTGGGCAGTCGTGGCAGAGACCCTGTTTACTCAGGAATCTATTGTTCTTGAGAAAACAGGCTTCTCAGCAGCAGGGGGACTTTTCAGAGCTGGCTGCAGACTCTGGAGCAGTGGGGTGTCTTACAGAGGAGGCTGCCTGGAGTACCTTATCCAGAAACCCACCTGGCATCTGGTCATAAGCTGTTGAGTTAGTTTAGAGGACTCAGGGAACCGAGGCCTCTGTACCTGGAGAGCGTGAGCAGTAACAACAGGCAGCTGGTGTTGGAGGTTCCACCAGGGCACCTCGCCTTGCTCCCACTTACAATACCACGCTTCTCCCTGGCATCAGCCCTGGCTCTTGTTTCTTGCCTTTGCTTTCCGTGATGAGGCTTAATTCTAGCATCTGGGCCCA